ACTTAGGACAAATGTTGTGCAACAACAAAGACAGAATCGAAAAGTATAGAAACAGTGGCGTTTATCAATTAACGTGTCAAGACTGCAATAGTGTATATATAGGTATATATGTCAAGCAGGACGTCCCATAGAAACGAAAATTAACGAAAACTCCGTAATTTAAAGAAACTAGATTCAATATCCACCTTATTGAAACTAAACACCAATGTGATTCAGAAAAAAAACAACAACTGCAAAGTTTTACGTATCTGTAAAGTAAATTTGTCTTGTTTTCCTCAATTCTCTAATTATGGAGCTTCACCAAGTACCGACGGTTTCAAGTATCAATTATATTATTCATAAATAAATCTGAGTCATTTTTTGACAAAAGTCTAAGTGTGTGTGTACCCACTTATAACTGGCGAATCGTTGAGCCGATCGTCACAAAACTTGGCTTGTTCTTTTATTACTCCTAAAAGAGTTACATATGGGGATCAGCTTTCATATATCATATGGACTTATATATCTCTCCAGTGCGTTGTGTCGCTTTATAACTGGCGAACCCCTCAAATGATTATCACCAGCTCTTGCATATAGCCTTAGAGGGGAGTGACATAAAGAGGATGGTGTTCAGATTTACCTTCTATGTCATCCCCACGGGTCCATATGTTTCTCACGTGAGTTGGAAAGGTTCGTCTGAAAAAAAATTACATTAAGTTACATATACATATTTTAAACTGAAATACAGCTTGGATTGTTTCTCAGGTAGTGACACTCAGGTGCAGATTCCAAAACAATGGTATGGGAAGGGGCCGCTAAGGTATCTGTTTCCCTTTTCTATTCTGGACGGTAATGTTTGTCCTGTTGAAATCAGGGGCATACTATAGTATTCATTCTAGTATCAGTGTTAGAGATTCATGGACTGAAATAGACTGTTAGAGTATTCATTATTCAGTTTTGTGTGGTATAAAGTTGTTTATGTGTCTTGATAATGCTGGAGAGTTTCTTATTACAAAATTGTGAAGCATCTGCCAGCTTCAATTACTGTAACTTCTTATCATTGATGTGATATTCTGGCAAAGCCAAAGTGATGCAAAATTTAGATAATACAGTTAGAAAAACGATCTTTACACTCCAGGTAATTATAAAAGAACTCTTATTTTAACCGACATTTCGCCTTTGCGACATCTTCAGGGCTAGAACATAAAATTGAAGTAAAAGTTCTTCTATAACTCTCTGGACTGTAAAGGTCGTCGTTTTTCTAACTTGATCATCAAAATGTGTAAATCCCTCCAGCATGCACTATAAAAGTTTGAAAGATACATAATCTAGGTAATGTTATTGAGTGATCTCAAGTTATTAATGTTTATTTATGATTTCTTGAATGCTAAGAAATGTGCAGAGGGTTGGTTGGCAGAATAGATCAGAAACTGGTTCATGAGAGGTAATGTGATTAGAGGATACAAACTTCAATGGCTAAAGCTACTTAACTGACCATTAGATATAGCTTCGAATTACATAGGCATAAAGTTAATTCCAAATAAAATCTAGGTCCAGGCAAAAAAAGAAAACCTTCAACCATTTGGATTAATTTATGTGGCATAATTTGTTAATTTTTTTGTTATTACTACAAAAAGAATTATGTTCGTTTGTAATAACTTTTTTTCCCTAGAATTCTCTAAATGGCCTAAATAAATGGTTTATGCGTTAATAATTCTAGCAAAGAAATAACTCGGTTTAAAAACAAGTCCGAGTTTTGCTTTGAGCATTATAATTAGGATATGTGATATTCAACTACTCGAACCCAAAAGTATCAGTTAGAAAAACAAAAACAAAAGACCCTAAACTTTGAAAATCGAAACCCTATAATCTTATTTCATTATAATTCAAATTTCTAAAGCTAATAACTATTAACTGCATCCTTTTCAATGCTTTGATTTGATTTTACACAGAGAAACCAAATGTGAACACAGAATTTCAGTTAAAGTAAAGCTAAAGTTTTATACAATAAACAATAATTTTCAAACAGTTAAACGTTCGGTATACAGATCCTAGAACATGAGTAGATGCATCTTGATCAACACTAGACATTATCTTAAATATTTCAAGTTTTTTAAAAGAACCACAACCAGATCTTCCAAAGCATCAACATTTTAATTTGCACAATAGGTTATCGTCATTGTACTCATCACAGGGATCGAGCCTCAAATTTGAGTTTTATATGTCCCCGAGCTTACCTTTGAGCCACCTGAAGGAGTAATAAAAATAAATATCCTGGTACTGGTGAAAGTTGTAATGTCAGTGCTAAAAATTGTGTATTCATTTCTGAGTTTATATTATCTTTTACTTCTAAGTATGCCAGTTTAACATGAAACAACATTAACAAACTAATAATAACATTTAACTGGTGTTTGTAAACTAGTTTTTTATTAATTTTAAGCAGTTTAGTTGCGTACATATACACTATCCTACCAAAAGTCATGGGACACGGGTAGTTATGAATCAAACGTCTTTATTCCAAGAAATTAATAACGTATTGGCCCGCCTTTGGCCTTAATGATTGCTTCAATGCTTCTTGGAAAACTGTCAACTAATTTCTGGTATAAAGCTGGTGGTATTGTGCTCCACTCCTCCTTTAAAGCATTAATAAGCTCCACTACTGAAGAAGGCCGTCTTGGCCTTGCCCTAATTTTGTGTTCCAGTTCATCCCAAAGATGTTCTATCGGGTTCAGGTTGGAGCACAGTGTTGGCCACTGCAATGTTCCGATATTATTCTCTTCAAACCACGCGTTCACAATCCTTGCTTTGTGGAGCGTTATGATGTTGGAAGGTGTAAGGGCCGATACCATAAAACTGCCACAATGTAAGACACACAGAATTGTTCAGAACATCAATGTAGGACTCAGCATTCATGGATCCGTGCACTGTGACCAGTGGACCTAGTCCATACACAATAAGCACCCCCAGACCATGATACCTCCACCTCCAAACTTCACTGTTGGGACAACATACTCAGGTGATAAGCGTCTTCCAGGAATCCTCCATACCCAAACACGTCCATCAGACTGGAAGAGCATGTAGCATGATTCATTGCTCCACAGGACCAATTTCCATTGAGTCATGGTCCAGATTTGGTGTGCATTGCCCCATGCCAATTGATCGTGTGCTATTTTTTTTTTTGTTATCAATGGCTCGTGAGCTGCAGCTCTTCCGTGAAAATTCATGGCATGCAGCTCTCGATGTGTTTTGGAAACACTTGTAGTATTGCCTGTGGCTGCTCGCCTCTCCAAACACAGATTCTTTAGAGTCTGATGGTGAGATGAGATAATCAGCCTTATTAAGGTGCGTCGGTTCCTGTCAGTCAGTATTTTACGCCTACTTGGTCGTTTCTTGGACTCCTTGTCACCTGTGGACTTCCATTTCTTCAACACGTTGCCATTTGTCGACCTGAAAAAGTACAATAGCATGTACAAACATTTTCCCCAAGTGACATCCAACTATTTCCCCTCTGAAACTCTTTTAGTTCTTTCCACGTGCTCATCGTTTGGCGTACGAGTTCGAAATGACTTCCGAGCGAACCGCTTGATCACCTTTACAGACCAATGTTTTTGCATATTTCTTCGTCACATCCATTTTTCTGCAATGAGAGGTGTGTTCCATGACTTTTGGTAGGATAGTGTATATACAACTTAAAAAGATGAAGCTTAGTAATTAGCTAATTACTGTGGTTTTAACTTTGTACACTTACTTTCAATGCCATATGCACAGTACTAGAGCAACTATCTAAATTATATTTATAACGCCGCTGACAGTACAATATTTATAAGTCTCATTGTAACAAAATTGTTAATATTAGCATGTTTAACGATAAAAGCTAATGTGTAATAAAAATAATGTTCTAAGTATATGGTGCAAGATATATATATCAGTAAATAGGCTTCTTGGATGGGTTAGATTTCACAACAGGACCGTTTCAGTTACTCAAGACAACCTTGTTTGTTTTTTGTTTTTTTATTTCGCGCAAAGCTACACGAGAGCTATTTGCGCTAGCCGTCTCTAATTTAGCAGTGTAAGACTAGAGGGAAGGCAGCTAGTCATCACCACCCGCCGCCATCTCTTGGGCTACTCTTTTACCAACGAATAGTGGGATTGACCGTAACATTATAACACCCCCACGGCTAAAAGGGCGAGCATGTTTGGTGTGACAGGGATTCGAACCCGCGACCCTCAGATTGCGAGTCGAGTGCCTTAACCACCTGGCCATGCCGGGCCTAAGACAACCTTAATAGATCTGAGACATTTTAGCTTTTTCTGAACCAACGCATTGAATATGCTGGTTATAATACTTTTTATTTGGCACAATCTCGTAACTAGTTGTTCTTAAATCTATCTTACCAGTGTCTGTAATTATTACCTTTATAAAGTTAAAATTTATTATATTTATTTATTTCCTTTATAAAGTTGAAAAACCTAAACAGTTATCTGTAATATTTCTATCAGTTATTACTTTAACATAAGTTTCTGTATGCATTGAACAGATTTTGCAGAAAATCACACCTGAAGAAGCTGTACTGAAACAGCTCGAGTGCGTATGGATTCTGTGTGGTAAACTAAGAAACAAAAATAGTCAGACACTTCTAATTCATAATGCTAGTTCCGGTTGTTAATCCTCAGCAACGTGACCAAATATTAGAGAGGTCTGATTTATAATGAACTTTGATATCTTTATTCAAAGTTGTCATACAAAGTGAGATTTAGCTGCACGAAAATAAATTTATGTATGAAGCTATAAAAAGTATAGGCAAATAATTCTGCATAAAAATGTCTGTATTCAATCGTAAGATGAGGATCGATATAGGGAATTATGTCAAAAACGTAAAACTAGAAAGCCAACAAAGAAATGTAAAAGGAAATCCTTTTAATTTGTTTTTTTTTCAAAAACATTATATATGTTATATACATGAATAAGTATAATATATATATATATATATATATATATTTCAATACTGAGGGTTTGAAATTTAAAATAAATTTGGCTTCAGTAGTCGAGAAATGTTATGACATAATCTGAAACTGAAAACAAAAGTTTCTTAGAATAACTATATAAAAAAACTATTGATTATAGCAATTTTATCATTCTGATAAACGTGATTAATACAATAAAACGACATTACATACACACCTTTAGCACGTTTTGGATAATATATTGTGATATCTCAGATCATAAAAAACATTTGCTTTCGATTTCATTTTAAAATCCTCTCTATAAATTAATTTATTTTTTTTAATATTTTCCACATCTTGTTTCTTTACAATTTTCATCCTTCTACTGTAACATTTTGTTTCTGTTCCTTTATTTTTCCTTCCTTGTCTCGAACATACTCAGGTTTTGTCTGGTCCAGCAAAGCTTGCCACAGAGCCAGGTTGTTTCTGTTTAAAGTAAATAAACCATGGTAACCTACTACGCTGTTAATGAAGAATATACACATACATATGTATATATTTTACTGTTACAAATTGTTTCAACTGTTTAAAGAGATAATGTTTTTCAACATTGCTGCTATTTATAGCGTAAAGCGACACAATAGATAAGTTCTACTCTGTCTACTGCGGGAAATCGATTCTCGGAATTTAAGTCCATTAATTTATCCTGATCCTTGGGGAAACTAATTTTAAATTACACTATTCAAAATATTTCTAAAAAATTACTTAATCAACGTGTTTAAGGAATCGTGAATTGTCGGTGTAATTTAATTTGAAGTAAATACATATCCTTGAATTACAAAATAGCTTAAAGCTTATAAGAGAGTTTTGAAAACACTAATCTTAAATTCTGAATAGAGAATAATAAACTGATTCACTCACTTCCGTTATTTTAAAATGCTTTTCTATCTGTTTATCTAGGCTTGACATTGTAGGAGTGATAATGTTAAAACAAATCGTTATATTTTATAATAGTTACATTGAAAGGAACAGTAAACTTACAAACAGCCATCTAACATTGGCCTGCTTTCTGGGATAACTGCAGCTAGAATTTCATAACAAGGTTTGCATATAGCTGTCAGGAAACCAACCTGTGACAAAAAAAAGTGGAAACAGAAGTTGATGAGTTGACATATTTTTTAATAATACAAGTGTATTTTATTCTTTGACAAATGCTGTTATGGACTTTATATATCGAACGATACGATAGTCTCAGTACATTATGATAAAAATGGAATATGTAATAAACTTCAATTGTGTCATGACAGAAGTTAATTAGTTAGACACATAAGGCTGGTGCTTTCGAACTCCGGTTCCAATGGCACAAATGGATGAGAATGTTAGTAGGTACCAATCATACAGCTTGGTTTCGTTTGCTTGGAATTTCGCTCAAAGCTACACGAGGGCTATCTGTGCTAGCTGCCCCTAATTTACCAGTGATAGACTAGAGGAAAGGGTGCTTGCTAGTCAACACTTACTGTAAACTCTTTGGCTACTCTTTTTCCAGCGAATAGTGGGATTGACCGTTACATTATAACGCATGCTCAGCTACGGGGATTCGAACCGTGACCCACAGATTGCGAGTCTAGCGTCTTACCCACCAGGCCATGCCAAGCCCATACAGCTTGGTAGACTGAAACAATTGAGGTAAAGTGTCTTGCTCAATGACACAGAGCATGACGCGGGTTAACCTCGAACTGGCAACATTCTAATTATTAGTCCAAAGCACGAAACCATTGAGCTACTCTGACTCCTGATAGATGTTAATGTCGTATAAATCATTGTACTAAATGTATTCAAACTAATTTCGTTGTTGCAGAAGCAGTAAGGAGGTAAATAATAAATATTCGAATTTGTACTTAGTTTTATTTTCTTACTTGCTTGATGCATTGTATATAATAGTGTTTCGCAAATCCACGACTCAAAAAGACACTTTCCTGGTTAAACAACTGTTCGTATTTTTACCAGAAGTAGCAAATCCACGATTGAAGGGATACTTTCCTGGCTAAAAATTGTTCCCATTTTTACATAAAATTGCTTCCTGTGGTATTTTGGTATGCAGTTTTTGAAGAACAGTATCAACAACTAACCAATGATGCAGAAGGACAAGTTGGTTACGTGATTCGAGTACAGGTGTGAATGTTACCCTCCCCCCCAGAACATAAGATGTACATCAGTAAAAAGTGGCCTCAATGGGTGTGTAGCTAGCTACTCGAACACCTCTGCTTAGGAAAGATAAGTAAACCAAAAGGCTAAAATGGGTATGACACTTCAAGCAATAGAATGAGAAAAACTAGAGGACAACACTCTTCACAGATTAATCCGTATTCAAATTGTTTTTCAACAATTAACGTTAGTGTACTCAATGACAGAGAGAGACGGTCGGTGTACAACATATACAGGGAAGAATCCTGGGGGAATAATATAAATGTGTGCCCCCTCACAGTCACAAGTAGACTCGTATCCATTAGGTCACTCCCTCAGGAATACGTACTGTTAGTCAGGGATATATTTTCTAGCAATACAGTGATTCAAATGTATAGAAAAGGTAGTGAAACGATGCCAAGGAGGACAAAGAGGCAGATAGAACAGATAAAACCGTAGCTTGGATTGAACAAAGTACCAATTATGAATATTATTAAGACTGTATAGGCTTAAAAAAACTGAAATAGTCAAACGTAATAAAACAGCTTGAGAGGGTAGTAATAGAGAACATTTGGAGCAAAATTTCACAATCTTGATTTGATTTGGTTGTCATTAAACGCAAAGCTATACAATGGGCTGTCTGTGCTCTGCCCACCACCGGTATTGAAACCAGAATTTTAGTGTTGTAAGCTTGAACACTTACCGCTGATTCAGTTGGGGGGGGGGCATCGTGCATTGAAAATTTTGTGGTACTATTGTGATGGATTTATTATGATATATTATTTTAATATTGATGTTTGTTTCTATTAAATTTATATTTAGAAATGTACATAACTTATACTGTTAAATATGTATTGTGACACTCCCGTTTATTCTCTAAAATTGTAGAAGATTCTCGAGTGTAAGAATCAACAATATATGTGTATACGTGAATGTTAGTGTCAGTATTGTTACGTAAAACTGAAATTTCGAGAAACTCTCCACACGCCTATAAATATAACCAACGCGGCGCACCAAGAAAACAGTATCTATTATTGGTTTGCTATAATTGGTGTGCTATAAACTTCGGAAGCTATAACTGTGATTGTTATAACACTTATTAATCGCAAAACTTTAGTTATTTGACTAGGGACATTTATAAATTTCGAACATTACAAACCATTTAACTTCAGTGGATTCACATCAAACATTAGTACTTTTAAGAAAACGTTGCCTAACGTCATCGGTGGAAGAAATCGGCAAATAATACAGGGCTAGCTAGCTCCCTGTTAGGTGAATTATACCTACATCAACTCGAAATTAACTCATTCATCATGAACCCTCAATAAGACATCGAGGAAGTTCCAAACTAGAAAGAATACTTTATATTGCTTGTAAGTTTGTAAAACTTTTGTATATAAACTATTGTTTGTAGTAGCTATTTGTAATAACTGTTATTGTATATTAAAACATATTTATATTAACAGAGAAAACTGTGTATATAAATCTTGTTGGCAAATATCATAAATTGGAGATATATCGGCATTTATTTAACTACTAAATGTAAATTACAATTTAACTCAGTTTCAGACCATTTGAAATTTGAATACATAACACGATGAAAAGAAGGTTTACTTCTATTTTCAAAGCAAATATGAAATACGTTTTCACTGAGCAACTTATTCTCTTCCATGCCACATTTCCTATAATAATATTGCACTTTGTTTGTTTGTTAGGCTATGTACGAATTTTAGCAATAATTTGCCTGCAAACTTGCCCTCTGAGCCACCGTAGGGGGGGGGTGTACTGTATTCATGATAAGCTTAACATTTAGTTACAATTACTTATAGTTCCTGTTTATGTATCATCATTATATTTAAAGAATGATTTCAAATACTGTATACTCACACACACACATATATATATATACATTTGGTCAGGTCATGGGGAATCGTAAGTATTGTAAATGATTTTGTTATCCTGATGATTGCTTCATAGAGCAAATTAAGGCGATAGAACTGAATATATTCGAGGGTATTTTGAATGTTATATGAGATATTTTATTATAAGACATGCAAGTGGAACATCAAAAACGGATACGAATTATAAAGTTTCAAATTCTTACAACTATTTAGATTTTACAAGTAATAACCCTCATTATATTAAAAATAAATATTACATTTATCTTCTCTGAAAGAATGATAACAATTGTAAGGGATTATATTAAGAGAGATGCAAAATAAAATGAATTATCGGTATTTGTTACGTAATATCAATTAGCCGGAAGATCTGGCCTGGCGTGGCCTAGTGGTTAGGACACAAGACTAGCAAACTGCGTGTCGCGGGGTCGAATTCCGTCACCGAATGTTCTCGGTATTTCAGCCGTGGGTGCGTTTATAATGTGACGGTCAATTTCACTATTTGTTGGTAAAGAGTAGCCCAAGAGTTGGTGGTGGTCTGTGTTGACTAGCAGCCTTCCCTCTAGTCTTTCACTGCTAAATTAGGGACGGCTAGCGCAGATAGCCCTCGTGTAGCTTTGCGCGAAATTCAAAACAAACAAACCAAACCGGAAGATTTTAGAGATGTCACATTTTTCCGCACTAAAGAAACTTGAATAAAGTTTAACATTGTCAAACCTGAGTTACCTTTGATTTTAGCCTGTTGCCAAAATGTTGTATCTGACAATCATGAAGTGCGAAGTATTATAGAAAGATGTATTAATAGTAGAATTTAAATGTTGGTAATTAAGTTTAATATTATTATTGTTTATACATGACTGAAAAAATTATAATACTAATAATTCAGGAACGTAAATTATAATTTGTAGCAAAGATTGAATTATGTAACTTAAGATATTTAAAACACATCAAAGAAATAACAAATAGAAAATAAAATGTGATTTTTACTATTAATTAGTTGTGACTCTTCAAACTTTAATAATAATACCAGTTTATAAAAAAAAAATTATCATACAAACTGATAATCTTGCACTAAGATCAACTTTGAAAAGTCACATATGAAAAAATTACACTAACAGTACTTTCAGATGTTCTAAGGAACATTTCCGTATTTTCAGTTTTGTGAATGTAAAAATAATACAAAAAGACTAATCCATGAACATTAAGTCATTAAAACGTTTAATTTACTACTGAATTTAGAAAGCAAAAGAATATAAAAGTTGGGTATTAGAAGATATAATTAAGTTTTATTAAATAATTTCTTTAATCTAATTAGAGTTTCTCCTTTAATTTTCTATATAGTGATACATATGGATGTTTAATAATATCATAACGTTATTTACAAATGTATTTATTTGGAGTTGTATACTTTGTCCTTAGATTTGTTGTTGGTGGAGGAAAAGCTATAATCTTGCGAAAGCGATATCAGAATTAAAATAAACATTTAATCTTGAGCCCAGGCCTTCTTATTTTTATTCTCTCTATATATGTATATTGCACAAAACGGCAGCAAAAACGAATCAAATAAAACGTATAATCGGTTTGGATGTGTCTGAAATTTCAGTATTTCAGCACATACACACTAGTGAACATAACTACCACCAAATACACCACTCTACAATATACTAACAGCAGATGCTCACACCAGCAACATGAATAAAGACAGGTCGACGTTTGAATTACTACCCGCAGTCATTCTCAATTAGCCCCCCAGTGGCACAGCGATATGTCTACGGACTTACAACGCTAGAATCCAGGTTTCGATACCCGTGGTGGGCAGAGCACAGATAGCCCATTGTGTAGCTTTGTGCTTAATTACAAACAAACATTCTCAATTGAATCAATATATATAACCTTAAATAGCGCCATCTGCTGGCTTGTCCTTAAAAGGTATTAAAGGCTTATAAAGCTGTGCAAGAGGGTGTCTACCAATGTGTCTGTGAATAAGAGTTGGACTCGAATTTGTTATATTTCATCCTTCTAAAATTTCCCTGCGAATGTAATTTTACTTCATGTCTAAAATATTGTAATAATCAGTAATATGTAATCTGATAAAGAAATGTATTCAGCTAAAACAGATTTAAAATTTTCCCATTTATAGCGGCACGCTTTTTTCCCCCATTCCAACCTTTAATTGCCTAGATATCTTGTGTATTTAGCATTACAAACAACTTGACAAAAACAGGCAGGTTTTTCTAAATAAAATCTGTCCTATAACTTCAACCCCTTAAAAAACCTTTCTTCTATTACACAGGTTGAATATTCTGTCTTGAAAAAACTTGCCAGTAACCGAAACATTGTTGTTAACCGGCCAGATAAAGGTACAGGTGTCGTCATTTTAAACAGATCTGAGTAAGACTCCAAAATGGAAGATATCTTAAATGACAGAACATCTCTGACACCATTTGTGGAGAACTTTATCCTACAGGTTCCCACCCTGATCTTATCTATGGCTTACCGAATATACACGAAAATGGTTTACACCCTCAGACCTATTCTACATACTGTAGGTTCCCACGCCTACAAACTTGCTAAATATATTGTACCTGCATTAGGCTCACTATCTAAGAAGGAATTTGTTGTTAAATATTCTTCTTCCTTTGCTCAATATCTAAATTTCCTAATGCAGACCAATTCGTTATGGCCAATTTTAATATTCAGTTTGTGTTCACTAACATCCCACTTGAGGCAACAATTAAAATAATTAGTAAACAGTTATTCCCTACCAAACATGCTTTGCACTCTAACTTTTAACCAACACAAATTCTAACAGTTTCTTAAATTAGCCCTCAAGGACAATCACTTCGTTTTGAATGGTCGTTTTTATGACCAGATGGACGGAGAGGTGATAGGCTCACCTCAAGGTCCGACCCTTGCAAATATTTTTCTATGTTATTACGAAGAGCAATGGCTGGATAATTGTCCCTTTATTACAAACTAGTATCATATAGAAGATACATTGATGATACATTTATACTCTTTCACAATACTGATCACGACAAGAAGTTTTTAGAATATCTAAACTCACAACATCCATGTATAAACTTTACATGTGAGATGGAAGAAAACAATAACTTAGCTTTTTTAGACGTTCAAACAAATGGAATAAACAATCTATATGCCACATCTGTTTACCGTAAGAAAACATTTACTGGTTTATACACTCGTTTGGACAGTTTCATATCACACTCCTTCAAACATAGCTTTGTTCTAAATCTTCTAAACAAAGCGTATAATATATGTTCTGACTACTTCTGTCTTCACTCAGAAATTTCAAACATCCACAACATATCACAAAGTAATTGTTATCTCCTTAGTTTCTTACATTCTATCCCATGAACACTTTTAACGAATGAAATAGAACATACCAAAAAAAGTCACACACTGTCTCAAAATATCCACTAGTTCTTATCATTCCTTTCATTGACAAACAAAGTTTTAAACTCGAAAATCAAATTCAAAAAATAATCAAACATATTACCCACAAATTAAGCTACATTTAGTACTTAGAATGTTTAAAACCAAATACACTCTACCAATTCTTATGCGCTCATGAGTCGTATATAAATACACTTGTGGTAGCTGTAAATACCTATATTTGTAAAACTACACGTCACCTACTAATACGTACACACGAGCACATGGGAATTCCAGCTAGAAGCGGATATAAGCTAACTAATCCACCCGAGTCTTGTATCAGATTGATTGTACAGTAATAATAGCAACACCCCATAATTCTAGAAAACGTTTAAAATTCTCGACTCCGGAACAACAGATTACGACCTCTGCATTTTCAATAATCACCCAACACTGAATATTAACATCAACACCTCCCTGTCGTCATTAATGTAATCAATTCCGGATTCTCAGTGTTTTACTTTATATTTATTATTATTTTAAAGATACAGTATCTATACTTATGTTTAAGCCTTTCTCTATAATATTTTCTCTTAAAGTTATCAAACATGTGTATGCCACACATTTTATCGTACATTCAATTGTATTGTTACCGTTTACATCTGCTCTTTCTAAACTTCCGACTGAATACGAAAACTCTCTCAATAGCTAATGTTGTTTTTTATAGTTAGAATATTATGAACTAATATTTTTGAGATAATAAAGCTGATGGTTTAATTGAAGGAAATTCTGAAACGTCCCTTTTAAAGACGGTTTTTGGTATTACCGTGTTTTTACTATTTCTTATCAAACTTCGTTTTCCACCTGATGAATCAGTTGCAAAATCTCTTATCTTATCAAGACATTTCTAAGTGAAGAAACAAGGTTTAAAAGTAAAACCGATATTCACATATGACAAAATTATACATAGATTTTCACTCAAATCCTGAGTATAATGAGGTGGAATCCTAGTTTTTGGAATGTCATGGCGATGTTTTCATTTATTTTTTGTAAAAGAGCGTGTTATCTTTTAGCTGTTACTATTTTAAATTTATAGTCAGCTTTACTGTCCCAGCGGCTTACACCTTATTGTTACTCGACATCCAAGCTATTTATTAAACAACTAATGCCTTATGTAACAACTTAGTTTAACGGATTCTTTGATATGCAGTAACAATACAAAACAAGGAAAATAAAATGTTGAGAAACCTACACACGGTAGTTTATACCTGTGAAGCAGGTTGTTCATGAGTTTTGGTTCGGTCCATCATTGGTGCCGGCTCTCTGCCTTGTGCTTTCTCGGCATCACCCTAGGAAAGTACAAATCGAAATTACCATCGCTTGCACAGAAATAAGCTAACTAATGAAATCGCAGTAGAATAACCGTAGCTTTAACGACATTTTCGTTATTTATATAAATAAGTTTCGATATGTTGATTTACTTTTACTTTATAATGTGTAACTGAAATTCAGTAAAAAAATCCTTTGTTTAAGTGTCAGTCTTTAACTTACGATAAAAATAACTTTTCGAATGCTCAGAAAAACTGGTTGTCAAATACAGAAAAAAAAAACATGTACAGTTTGTGAATATCTTTAAAACGAAAAATACATCTTACGTTCTATACCTATACATTTACAAAATAAGTTACAAAATTACATCAAAATTGTTTCGAACATATAATTACACAAAGTCCTAATGAGAAGTTGAGTGAAATATATTCCATGGAATATTATAAACACATAAAATTAGGAGGCGCTAAGTTTCTTTTAATTGCACATATGTTATGTGGTATATTTGTTATTCATATCGGCTGTCCATTTTACCTACTGTACCGTCGTAGCATCTCAAATAATTTGTTAACCAAGTAAAATATTTCAAATATATAGTGTTGTGGATATAACGTGTCGGGCAATACCTTTCTTCGGGTAACACTATCTGAGCAGTAAATCTGTAAACGAAAACATCCTAAATCGAAGGTCGCGTGCCAATGCAACAAACAAACGTGTATAACAATGCTTGCAAACACTTGAAACAACAGGAAGTTACATATATATATACAAACACACACATAGAAGCGCACGCACGCACACATATATATACATACATAGATAAACCCACATATATACATACAAATGCATATAAATATACACCTGGAAAAAAGTTAA